GCATCTGTGAAAGCCTAGTGGAAGCGATTTATTATTAATTATTTGGTGTACAACTCCACTGATTGCCCTATTACTGGCATCTGCAGTAAGTGTTAGTTTGGCTGATTCATGTGCTAAGTGTGTAGATTTTTCCAATAATTCTATACATGTGTAAAATGCTTCGTTTGCTTCAGATGTCCATTTTTGCGTTTAAGGTTGATTTGCAAGTTGAATTTTGCTAAGAAATCCGCTCCTAGAATACAACGAGTTACATCTGCAATTATAAATGTATAGCGAAATTGTCTACGAAGTCCTAGATCTAAAACCATTGTTCGTTCTCCGTAGGTCCTTATAATTTGATTGTTTGCAGTGTAAAGTACTCGAGTTGAAATGTTACATTTGTCTAAGTTGTTATGTTTTATTATTGAAACTTCGGCTTCACTGTCAACTAAAAATTTTTGATTAGATTTTTTGTCTAGGATTTCTTAACAGTGAGAGTCCCTCCGTGTCTCGATTGTAGGCACGGCGGGCATTTTTAGTTTTCCGTTTTGATTGCCGGTTCTGTGGTCCATTTACATGGTTTAACAAATTTTTGTGCCTTACCGCGAAATTTGTAATGGAAATAACATAATGGTCCTTCTGATTTGTAACGTGACCGAGATTTTGAACGTGAGTGGTTCCACCGTGTATTTCTTGAATAAGTTCGTCCTCGCTTTAATTGAAGTTGCTTAATTTGTTGTTGGAGGTCCGCTAGTTTATTTTCTATATTATCTGGTTCAATGTATTCATAGAGATATCAACTACTCGGTCGGCCATTTCTGCAAGTTCGTCGACAGTTGCTGTTTTTGGAGCTACTGCTAGTACTATTTGGGCTTGTTTAGGTAAGCGTTGTAATCACATTTGTTTTATTAAGTGAGAAGGACAATTTTGTCCGGCTAATGATTTGATTTTCGACAACATCAATGAAGGTTTTTCATCGCCTAATGAAATTCCGGAAATTAATTTGCGAAATTTTTCTTCATAAGTTCTACCATATGTATTAATGAACTTATCTTTTAAATTTTGATAACAGTTTTCGGTATTGTCTAAGTCTAAAATGTCACTTACTTTTCCTATTATGTCTTCATCTAGCATGGCCAGGGTATTGTTAAATTTTGTTTGAGATTTACTTATGTGTCATAGTCTAAATTGAGCTTCGGCTCTTTTGAACCATGCAGCTGGGTCACATTTCCAAAATGGTGGCAGCTTTACGCCAAATATAATGATATTATCTGCTGTTTCTGGTATTATTTTGTCAATCATTTTTCCTTTGTAGAGGTCACTAATTTTTAGTGCTTCACTTATTGATTTAAAATAAATAAAAACACTAATTTATATAACAGAAAAAATGTAGACGGTTTATTGTTTAAAACACTAAGAAAATTTATATAAAAATTGTATTAATGCACTACGTGTACTTAACTACTTAACCGATTAACTGACGACTGACTAACTGATTAACGTTATTGTTACGTCGCGCCGTTTTATATTGTGTTGAGTTCTAGAAGATTCTCAATCATTCCATAGTCACTACATCTAATAAGACTAACTGTTAAACTAAAATAGAGGTAATCTATGTAACATGGTGAATGGGAGTGGAGGTAGAAGAGACAACACTTTATTATCAGATGCTTTGTATTAACTTTGGAATTTAATAAAAATAACTATTAACACAAAAATGTCATAATTACATAGATTAACTTATTAAACATGTTGTTTGCGAAACCTGAGAATCTAATTCACGGATGTTCTAACTGACGCTCTGCTAGACTCATACTGCATTGTCGTGGTGTAGCACAATGTTCGGAATGGCTAGCTTAATACGAAAGGGCTAAGTCAGCGGTTCCATTATATTCGACAGAAGCAAACCCCAATATCCTGACGCTATGATAAAATTATTAAAACACGTAAAATAAATAAAACATAAAATAATACAGTAACATCAGTATATACAAGTATCTCACTATTAAAATCATCATTAAAAAGGCATATGTGATAACATTCAATTATTTGTAACGTTAACCCTTAAACAGTCGCGTGGGGGTCTAGCATACCTCCACATAAATAAAAACGGATGTATTATATTGCATAAAAGGTGTACATAGATATAAATTTAGAAGATGGTTTTTATAGTAATATTGAATAGATTTCCATAAATAAATACCTTCGATAACAAAATGTATGACTTAAAATATCCATCAAAGTTGAAATGGGTCATATTGACCCCCACGCGACTATGAACGTTATAATTTATTTTGGACTTGTATTTTTTTCAAAATATCGTTTTATCGTAAATGCAATGTTATAATCGATATAATATTGTGGAATTGGGATTATGTGGATCTGCCACCGTCTGTGCAATTAAGTTTGAAAGGTTACAAATATAAAACAAATCAAATTAATTGGCCGCAACGAAAAATTTGTAACTTTCATGGCGCATTGAAAAATTACAAGAAAAGGGTCGCCAACCTACTGGGCGAGACAGTGTAATGTCGGACCACAGAAGGATTTAAAAAAAAAAAATTAACTTTTGTATATTAAAACAATTAAACAAAAATATTAAAGTTGATGTCCGTTGAGTCGTTGATAGTAGATGTACACCAAAACCTCGTGACAGTTGTCACATAACCATATAAATGAGGGATGATCTTATACAAGGCCGTTGCTCGTACCTTATAAACTAAGGGGAGATGATTTTTGAAAGGGAAAAAAATACACGAGTCCATTGAAGATGGATCACGCAAAAAAAAAGAAAAATATGATGGTTAAGTTAAATTAAGAGGACTTTATTAAGAAAAAAAAAAAATTAAGTTACTACGAGCCAAAAAACCGAATGGTCAAAAAACCTCGTCTACAAATTAAAGGGAGACAGAGAGAAAAGAAAGAAGAAAAAAAAAAGGTATTAATAAAAAAATAGTTACACCTACACTTTTATTATTAGAGAATACGATGAACGTCTTCGGGTACCCGCCGGCTATTAATCGCGGCATTGCCGCTAAGCACGGCGGATATACGTCCCAATTAAGCGACTGATTTTAGGCAGTTAGACTTAGCTTGCAAGACGTTGGGACACCCCGGAATAAAATGCACTACGTCACCACAATGTACCAATAATATATACATATCATCACCCATAAAATATAATATAAAACCTATAAAAAAAATCACAAAAAATATGGATATAATCATGACAGGTGGTCTTGTAACACGCCTGCCATGTTGTGGGACCTAAATAAAAAAATAAGGGCACCTAAAAAACATGTAATAGAAATCTCGCCACACGTGCTCATGGCACGGCGCACTAATAAAAAAAAAACTGGTTCAAAACATTAAAAACAAAAATATACATTACCAGCCCCGAAGGGCTACAGAAAATGGAGGCAGGAATAGCCGACGCCATAAATTAAAAATTACATACTCAAAAAATAGCGGACACTCACGAAAAAATATATCTATAAATTTAAAATGTTGCAGCGCACACAACAACAAAAAACTCACGCTACGGACGAAAATTAGCGACAACCAGTTCCGATGATGGCTAATTTCCGACAAAACGTCCGGCGTTTGACCCGGTGGTCCGTTGGCGACAACACGGCTAGCCTTTAGAATAGGGGTAAAAAAAAAACTTAATACCCAGTGCCGGAAATTACTAAGAACAATTTAAATCATAAGGCGATAATGTATGCGATGAGCAGTGCAAATGACGTTCAAGATAGGAAAGGAGCGGGGTGAATGTACACACACATGCCGTCCATGAACCGGTCTGAAGTAGTACACAGCTGAATATCTCGCCGTCGCAGTACGCATTCGGCTCAACACAAATATATATATACATATATCCAAATAAACAAAAAAAAATATATAGATACTTTTTGTCACGTTACAAGTTTTAAAAATAAATAATCTATTGAGAATTTCCACTACTCGATGATACGGAACAAATACGAACTAAACATGTAATAAATACATCCCGTTGCAATGTGGACACATTGATTATCGGTGCCTCATTTACAATTACCACTATTCACATTTACCCCTCCTGACCCTACTTGTATTATAATAATTAAATTGTATTGTAATATTAATAATAAAAAAATTCAATTCAGAAAAATGATTATGTAAATGTAAATACATATAAAACTAGTAAATATAAGCCATGTTTGAGCTCAAAGAAATACAAGAAAAATTAATAAAAATACATTTTTAATAGTAAAAGCTTTTATTTACCGTCTTAAAAATTAGATTTTGCAGTTAAAATAATTTTTTTACAAACCAAAATTTTTTAATGAAATTTTGAAAATTAAGATTTTTTTTTTTTTTCGTAATATAATTTTTAGTAATGCACATAATTTTGTCATTTATTTATTTTTTAATTGTTATCCATATTTATATATCATATGGTAACAAATAATGTCTTTGAGTTTTAAAAAATGAACTTTATTATACATATTTTATACTTTTTTAGAAATGGGGTCTAATAGACCCCCACGCGACTATGAACGTTAAAAATAGGTACGCGGCTGCTTAAGGGTTAATAATAAATATACCATAATTATTAAATTTCAATACAATTTTTTTATGATATACATATGGAATAAATATAGGATTTAAAAAAACCCAACACGAATAAATCCGATGTACATATATCGGATTGTATATCGACCCAGCCCTAGTAGAAACAACTAACATTACTGAAATCTATAAACAATTAACATAACCATCATAAAATGCCTCCATGCTGATTTGTTAAATTTGTAGTTTGTACTGTTGGACTATGTAAAATGAAGGTGTCCATAGTCCACTTTGTTTAATAAAACAAAAAAGAACAACAAATAAATACACAAAATAGTAAAAACAACACCAATATTGTTTGGAGAAATGATCATTGGATCAAAATTTATCGGGGCTTTAAAATAGAATTCTGTTACTTATAGATATTTATTTGTATACTTCAGTAATTTAAATAGATAAACAATATTTACTTTTCACGAATTTTTTTCATTATTAATGGATTGATTTCATCTTTCTTATAACTTTTCAAATTTTCTAGGAATTTTGGATCTGAAATAAGTTTTTGAGAAGGTCCCCAATAATCTTCTATCATATTTCCTGATCCACTAGGGTCTGGCTTTCGTTCAGACTTTATCCCTATCATTACACAGACAGCTTCTAGAACTAATTTGACTCCAGATGGTGGGTTTTTCATTGATTTTACTACAGTAATGTCAGCAGGTTTAAGGGTATCTAAAGCTGAAATTGCTTGTTCAAGGGCTGGTATTGCCTCAGCTAAATCACTTTCACAATCATCTTTTATGGCTTGCGAAGCAGCAGCGGCTTCATTTGCAAGAGCTTCATCTGCGCCTACAATCTTAAAATTCAGGATAAAAAAATATTTTACTTTAATGACTAAAATAGTACACGAGTAAGAAAAGGGGTAGTAAAATAAATAAAACCACAAAATAACCTCTTTTTTTGATTCAACTTTCACAGTATCTTGCTCAATTTTGACCATAAGCGCTTCAGTTGCTATTGATGTTTCAACTAATTTGGGTTTTAATGCAGTTAATTGGTCTTGCATAACTGATACTTGCTCAGCTGCAAAGTTTAATTTTTCTAACCCAGTTTCGTATCTTTTTTTGTAAGTAGTAATTTCGTCTACTTTCTTTTTATATAAATTTTGAAACGTTCTTATTAATTCTAAGTATGATGTTGAAGTAACATAATTGTGTCTTTTTAAATTGTTATATAAACTAAAAATGAAAATTTTTCTTCATAATTATCTTGGAAAAAAATAATTTATAGTACAAAATTATAAATATATAGTGTATCCTAGATGAAAAAGTTTATGATAAATTTATGATAAATGTCATTATTATTGTGATATTGATTGATTTTAAACCTTATTTTTTGTTACAAACTCTTTGAAAAAACGTATTTTCAAAGGTACATGGTTATTTCACAATAAATCAAAGTTTTTAATGCTTTTTAATTATCAGTTTCTTTATCACGTTTTTAAAATATAATTTTAGTTTTGCTACAGTGATAAATCAATTTCTTTGATATTTATTAATTATTTTTTATAGTAATTAATCGTACGTACTTTATTGAAGCCTCTGTAACTGTTATATGAAAATATTTACAAATCGAAACGCATGATGCAGCAACGGTTACAGGCACATTCATAGTTTGTATAAAATATTGAGCAACTTTTTCTAGAGCATCTTCTGGCCATTCTGTAAACCTAGTACCAAAATATTCTTATATATAATTTAATTCTAATTAGAAATAAATTATTTATTTTTACCAATCAATTGTACAACAGTTGATAAGAGACGGAAACATCCTTAATCGATTTCTAAATTTATCACCAATAGGTGACATAATTAAAGAAATATGAAGATTTGATCTAACTCTTTCACTAAAAACATTATAAAGTGCTAAAGGAGTAGTTTCAATTTTTTTCCCCTGTAAAAAATTATACTGATTATTAGAAGATATATCTTATATTTATAAGATGGTGTGAAGCAAAAATTAATTAAGTTTAAATTAACTTTGATATGAAGGTAAGAAAGTATTGATTTTGTGATGATATACGTTTTTTTTTATGTCTGCTCATAAAAATTCTCAACATACATTTATTAATGATCAATACGTTAAAAGATTTCGAATTTAATCTAATTGAACCTGTCAGCACCGAAAATTGGAAAAATCTCCATAACTTAAAACAAATATTTTAAAATTACGCTACCGTAAATAATGACATTTTTCAAAAAAAACGTTCTGTTATTTGAAACTATTATAACTTTTTTGTAAACACTGATTCTAGCAATTTTGAAAAGGGTATAATAGAATCATCAAGCTTTCTCATGGTATGTTATGTGTTAAAATTCCAATGAAAAACTCAAATACATATGTTACGTCACTATTTAGGGAAAGTTAAAAGAGACCACCAACACATGTAAACAATTTTTTAAAATGTGTCCTGAAAAATTGATAATTTTTAACCTATATTAAATATATATATTTAAGAAAATGAATATATATATTAATTGTAGCGTTACGCTACAGCTTTAGTACTGTTTGTCAGTTGCAAGAAAGTCCGCTGGATAGCGCTGTTTGTTAACTTTTATTCAAAAGAATATAATATAATGTATGTTTTATTTAATTATATAGATAATAATGCTTTTATACCCTTTTATGTTACACATCAGTCCAAACGGGAACTCGCTGATTAAATATATATTAAAATACACATTTATTCATTACAAAATATTAAAAATAAATGATCAGTAAAACGATTAATCTACACTACTCAAGTGGTGACGGGTAGAATAAGGTACACCTTCACTGCTTGAATAATTATCTTCTTCTCTTATATTACCGTTTTTCGTATTGTTTAAGTAAGTAAGTTTAAGTAAGTAAGTAAGTAAGTAAGTTTCTTTATTTCTTTCCTTATATCTTAATATATAATATATAGAATTTTCAACGGTGTTTATTACAGCGCGTTACCAACCATGATCTAAAGGGTTATATCGCACCCTTTGCATAATTCAGTTAATTTTCAACGGTGTTCATAACCTCTGTGTTATCAACCGTGATCAAGATAACTATCTCCTTGTAAAAGTCCCCTTAGCGCTTTACAACGGTGTTCGTAACAACCCGTTATCAACTGTGATACAAAGGGTTATACTTCTATCTTCACCTAAATTAAGCAGTTCCTAAAGTAAGACTAATATGAGAGGTAGTTGTTTAGTAAAGATATATTCGTCTTTTTTAAAATAAAACAAAATAAGTTGATTCTTTGAACAATTTGCGTTGTGTTTTTGTATTATTGATAAATTTAAGTTAACAAAAAACAAACTTAAAAGAGTACAAACGTAGAAACGTTTCATAATACACTTTAAGTGCTTATATATATAAGCTCTTGAAGTGTATTACAATATTAATAAAAATCCTTTTTTCGATTATTTTACTATATAAAACCTGGTGGTACACCTTTATACTAAAAATTAAATTAAAACATCAACAAATATACTAAATTAAGTACATGACCATCACTAGTAATATTGCAAGTTTTATTTAATTATTTAAAAAACCATGCTTTAAAATAAAAAACAGAATTTTTTTATGATAATGGAATATTTTGAAAACTCGCGTTAATACGATTTAATGGAACAAGCACAAAAACAGGTTCAAAATTTTCAATTGTACAAAATGCGCGAGCCCAAGCTAAAAGTAATAATTATAGTTTATAGATTGTAAATAAACTTTCCTTTAAAAAAAAAATATGTATTATAAAAAGAACATACCAGCTGTTGAGCAATAATTGATATTTTATCTAATATATCAGCTCGTTCATCCGATTGATAAAGATTTGGAATGTCACCAGTATTTAATAGCATATTAATATCTTCAATGAAGCTTTCATCGGCAATTTGATTATCAGGTAATAAAAATGTTATTGGTCTTCCTTTGCATCCTGCATCTCTTAAAAGTTTTTTCATATCATCATTCCATTCATTTTTACCATAACTTTTTATTATTTCTATCTATATATAAAAATAATGAAATAAATTTTATACTACATAAGCTAGAACAAATGTTTTTATTAATTACTTGAAATATACTGTAATCAGCCATAAAAGTTGCTAGTTTCGTAGTTGATTGTCTACCATCACCACCAACGCCAACTAATAATAAATGGCCATTATCTTGCTGCAACACTCTACTAACTCGAGATATGTGTTCGACAGCAAATTTAAACATAACTAATGTCATTGGGCTCTTAGAAATTGTATTGTACTCATTTAAATAATATTCCATACGTTGTAACAAAAGTTTTTCATTAGGAATTTCATCATAAATCTTTTTGTCACTATCTGGGTCCATATAATTGCCAAAAAATAGATTTCGTAAATGTTCAGAATTCAGAAAATCGTCTTCTGCTGGTATTAAGTCATTAAGATATGAGTCTATTGATTGTCTTAAATAACTATATGAAGCATTTTTTAAAACATCAAATAACATCAAACGATCATCATCATGAACTAGTCGATCTCCAAATACTCGCCACGTTTCGTGAACCCACAAACGGAAAAATTTTTCTAGAGTTTTACATCTAGATGCGGGTAATAGTAACATTCCTTTAATAACCCTTGCGAAATCTCGCAAGTTAAAAGTATAATGCGATTTTGCCGGCGTAGGTAAAAATGTAGATATAGCTTCGTTATATACATATAATGTGGCTTCAACTGTGTTCTAATTAAACAGTTAACTCTTATTAAACAATATCAACTCTCAATATTTTTTTGTAAAATACCTTTCCCTGTAATACTATAGCTTCAGAAAATCCTTTGTTAACATGCCATTCAATAATTTGAGTGAATATTTTTGACATAGTTTCTTGACTAAATGAATTTATTCCAATAACATTTAAATGTCTGGTAAATCGTGTAGTTATGTCATTAGAACCTCCACCAGGAGGTTGTAAAGCACCAATAAAAATCTAAACAATAAGAAAATAATTAATATTTCACTGTTAGTTATTTATTTTAAGTTTTTTGTAGTATATTTAAAAATTTAATAGAATTTTTCTTCATCAGCGATTTAACTGTAAATATAATAATAGTTAATTACTTATGACTAATATTATTTAAAATAAAAATTAAAAAAGCCACAAAAAATATTAAATATTTGCGTATTCAAATTTCGTGGAAAATGTTACCATCATCAATGCTGAAAATTGTATAACACTTAAAATGTTTGCTGATCATAGTTACTGTACTAAAAATCGTGTGAAAAAAGGCATGGTACGTGATTAGAATCCACGATCATTGCTGGCTATTTGCAAACTGCCCTAAAACTTTCCTATTTGCAGGTAAAGTGATATCATTTGGGTTCGTAGATTAGCGTCAGATCTGGGTTATATTCGGAGTTCCACTTGGCTGACCAGAATGTATGTAAGCCTTTTAGATCTTGTAGAATATAGAGGTTCGAAGCTAATATCTAAGTTTATAGTTCTTCCCTTGCTTTGTCTATGTTCTTATACTTCCAAGTGATACTCTGACTGTTGATGTCACCAGTTACTAGGGAGGGGTTTGTCGATGACTGGTAGTGACCCGGGTGCTCAGTTTAGCGTTCGTGGTTTGTATACATTATAGATTGAAAGTCCATTTATGTTAACACCTATGGTAGCTATGCCGTCATATGTAATTTTAAATAGGGTGATATATCACTTGATGGTATCTTTGACGTAGATAGCTAGTCTACATATAGGATGTAGATGTTGGCATACGAGAACAAATCCAATAGTTTAATAATTAAGGTCTATGGCTGATGAGAAATAGGTTTCTTGAAAAGAAAGGGCGTTCGCTGCTTCATATTTCGTAACGCGATCAAGATATTCGTATTTGGTTTTTGAATTTTAAATTTTATTAATTTGCTTAATTAAAAATTATTTTTTAGTTTTTACTTCAATAGACAATTTTTTATAGAAAAATAATCAACAAGAATTTTTTAATTTCGATGCGAAGCTGAGAAAGTATTAATTTTACTATAATATGTTATTTTTTGTAACCACTTATTCTCAGCTCTCACTGGATTGATTTTGATGAACAATACATTAAAAGATCACAAATCGTATCTAGTTGAAGACATAACCCTCAACAATTTCTTTGTTTCCGTAAATAAGAGAAAACTTGTTATGATGAAAATAAAAACAATTCAGCATAGTGTAAACGTGGCATAGTTGGGACTAGTATAGATAGGGTTACCAGATGAAAAAACCATAAGTTCGGAGAAAATGCCTGATTTCTATTGGAAAATCCTGAGATTTTTTATTTTCTTCTCAAAGCTACTAAAATTTAATACAGACCTTTTAGCTTCAACGTGAAGCTGAGAAGGTATTAATTTTACTATGTATACTCTATTTGTGTGTGCTACTACTAGACTATAATAAGTAAAATTAAAACTATATTAAAAATATTATTAATTTAAAAAACTAAAAAATATTAAAAATATTAAACTCAAAGCCACAAAAAAATTAATGAAAAGTCGCGGATACGTATTTCGGAAACAATGTTACCATTATCAACGCTAAACACATACTGTTAACACAACTAAACACAAAATTATTGTTAGTTTCACCTTAATTAATGATGGGTTTTTAGATCTTTTTAACAACTTTTTTTTGATTAGTTATTTTAGTTAAAGTAAATCATTAAAATCAATTCAGTTCATATTTCAATTGTAGCATCTTTTTAAACACCAAAAATTACTAGGAAATGAATATTATGATTTCTATTTAAGTTATCTATTACGATAAAAATGTAAACAAATATTGAGCTTTTCTGATAAATTTACTATAAATAGTTATTATAAAATTTCCTGACTGCATATTAATCTTAACGATACAATTTTTTTAATTCTCATAAAATTTTCTATTTAATGATGTCAATTTCAAACTTGCAAATTGAGCTAAAAATTATGGTAATCATTATTATTTTTTAATTATAAACTTTCACAAAAATCAACTTTAAAGGTTTAAAAAAATAGATTAAATATGTTATTTTCCTTATTTTAAACATATTAATAATCAAAATCAGTAGTAGTTTAAAATAATATTTTTTGTTCTTAATTAATTTTTTCTTTTGTGTAAATACTTATTTTTTAATAATAAGTAATAATACTAAAACTTAGAAGTGATAGAAAAAGTCTAATTGCACATTTGAAAACATCGCGAAAAGTTGATTTAGAAAAGTATATTTTTGTTTCTGATGAAAGTTCTTTGTAGTCCAATGTATAAAACTTTATTTTAAGTAACAAACATTTTTAATTGAAAATTATTGCATCAATCCCTTTAAATTTTTATACACGTTAATAATAAAGGAATATAGAACAGCTTTATTATTTTTCTAATTTCTCTGCATAAATTGCGATATTAAATTATTGAATATCAATTTTATACTAAATTTAATTACTTTAATTATTATTTATTCATATATTATAATTATAAATCAATTAAATAATCAGGATAAAAGCTGAAATATGATTTTAATGTAGTCTAAAAATGCACAATTTAATGAAATGTTGGATTAAAAATTAAAGAAGTTTTTAGTTATATCTAAGACTGTTTATGAAAAAAATGAACTACTTTATAATACATACCATATCTAGAATATCGATTCTTGACATAGATTGAAGATCATACCAGTGCGAATGGTCCATCCATTGTCTTAGTAATTCTATTGGAGGTTGAGCACCATATTTTTCAAGTATTGGCATACTTAAATCATCTACAAATAACATACATTTTTTTCCCATTGCTGGTCCGAATATTCCTCTTCTTCGCCTATTTGTTTAATTTTTAATTTACTCATATTATCAATTTAACAATTATATTAAAAAATAAGTAACATGAGAATAACACTAAGTTTAATCGACACACATCATTTAATTAATGCAAGGCCAATTATAGCTTATAGCTACTATGTTTTTGTTTTACAAATGTTAGAACAAAAACAAATATTAACTCTAATTTTAAGCATTTTTGAAATAAATAAAGTTGCCAGAAGGCGTTATTATAGGTGTTTGATTTATAGCTACGATGGAAAGATAAAGGTATTAATTTTACTATAAATACTTTCAAAATATTAAAAATTAATGATAATTGTCTATATGGACTACATAATTAAAAAAAAAAAACAATTGAAAAGACGAATACAATTAATGATAATCTTCGCATGATATCATGAGTACGTGGTGTACGGCATAATCCTCGGACGTCAAAAAGTTAGCAGCGTTGATGAAGACGGTGTGTGTGTGCGGATCGGTTCGTCGAGTCTAGTCGTGCGACGCATCCAGAGCCGGTGGCATCACTTTGATGACGGGAAGAAAACTCAATGTATCAATAATAAGTCATCGTCGGCTATGTGGCACTTACTGAACTTTGCACCGTGGCGTATGAAACGGGGTGTTGGTCAGTTAAACTACTACATACACGTAGTTAGACGATGGCTAATAAACGTGGCGTCCGTCGCAGGGCACTGTGTATCACGAAGCGACGTAGGACCGTATCAATGGACAAAGTGGTGTTGACAATAAAAAATAATTACTGAAAAATTAGCAATAATCCAAATTACTATTTGAACCCATAGGACCTGGCCATCGTGATTAATCGATTCCAGTACGTAGCTCTTTGCTTTACGTCATTTATCAGTCTTAGTTGTCGCTGTCCGGCTTACTGTATTAAGTCAAGTTTTTGTTCTTCCATTTCACTTATTTACTTTCGTCCTATACATTTAAGAGTATTTGTGTCTTTTACTTCATCTGCACCTTGTACACTGTTGTCTTTCTTACCTGGTACACCTAGTATTTGTGTCACGTATTTCGTTTAAAACTCATACTTCAGTGTTACCCTTATTCCATTCATATAACAACGGCCTTTCAACACCCACAGTCAACCGGAAGTGTCAGTCAAGCACGGTAACTGCTGTACGATCACACGTATGTAAATATCCAGACAGCAGACTCATTATCATCTTCGAACCTACACTACACTTTCTTTGTGTTTTGTTTTATATTTTATCAAGTGGGCAGATTTGGAGTATAAAATAAGGTTGGAATTTGAACCAACAGCTCATACGGATATGTTATAATGATTTTACAAAAACGTCATAAACAACCAGAGGAATCCGTAAGCTCTTATTTAAATGAAGCTGAAGTTTTATGCTTACGAATAAACAAGGACATGTCACAAAAAGAAAACAAAATCTTATTATGAAAGGAATACTCCTCGATATTTTAAAAATTGTAGAAGGCGGCAAAGCAAAGCTACTTCATAAATTAAAACAGACATTTTCGAGTAGTAAATTCAGTATATGTCGAACAAAAATCAAGAAGGTGAGCTAGAACAATTAAAATGGTAATTCAAAGAAATTTTAGATTTTTATAAATCATGAAATAAAACTTCAATGGCAAATTTAAAAGCAACAAGATAACGTGTCAGCTTTGGCAGAGTCAAAATCATACAGCAAAAAATCGCAACCAAAAAAACTAGCTTATAGACTAAATGTTTACACTAAGGACATACCTTCATCTTTAGCAAACTCAACAAAAATAAAATTACATCAGTCAAATATATCATGAACGAAGTTAATAAATGCAAAAAAATTGAGTACGTACAATCAACATGTCAATATTTAAGTGCAAGAATATAATACATCATTAAACAAAACAGAAATATAGTCACTATAGTCTAAATATATTAAACGCAGAATTAGCTAAAGAATACAACATAAAAAAGTTGGAAACAACAATGCGTTCCCAATATTGTAATTTCCCCAATGAACTTGTTCAAAATTGGCACCAACACCAGCTGTCGTTATAACCGTCAGCCAATATCAGACTGCTCCATGTCTGCAAGTATAGGCTCTCTCATCGCTGGACTATTGCAGTATTCAATCTAATGATTGGTTTGCAGCAATTTCAATGTTTCTCTATCACATGACTTCATCTTCAACTCTTTATATGATTTACATCCTTGATCTTCTATTATCTGACTTATGTATTGCAATCTTGATCATTCTCTATGATTTTTTCCATCGATTATTCCTTCAAAGATTAATAATAGCAATCTACCGTGTCTTAAAGTATGACCTAATAATATGACCTATTTATTAAGTATAACCGTTAGACTATCGAGTGAAAGGTTTTATTTTGTTTATGATGTTTAATATGTTAGTAATCAAATAATAAGGTACTTTAAATTTGTATATATTTATATATATGTTCTTATTAAAATAAAAAAAAACTGTGAGGCGTCGCGGGACGCCTGGTAGATATGAAACATCTTGTTAACATTTTATAAATTTTTTTTTGCATAGACGGATAGATTACAACAAGATATGGCATAATGGAAAGACAAATCATTAAAAATTATTGCTATAAAGTAATGATTATTTATTATAATATTTTTTTTAATTCAAAAAATTCAAAATACAAAAATTCAAAAAATTATTCCTAATTATTCTGACGATATTACTGTGACGATTGGTCGATGATAACTGAAGTATGTAACAAAAGTAATTGACATAACATTATCAAGATATCTTATAAATACAGCATCTATTGTTGTTCCGTATCTAGTAGTAGGTTCTCTGGGATTGTTGTTAATTTGCAATTGAAATTCTTCTTGGAGAAACGTAATTAATGACAATGATTCATCTTTTCCAAAATTTACATTAAAATCCCCAGCTAAAATCAATGGTAGTTCACCTTTGTTAGTTTTAAAAATTATTGACCCTCTGTAAAATCAGTGATTAATTTTTGCAATGTAGTAAGTTTATTTAACGATAATCTTTTAAATTCTTCTTGTAAACTTAAAACGGATGAATCAAATCTTCTTCCATGATAAAATCTTAGATCATCCTGACTGTTACATATAAACAACCCTTCAACACTTGTTACTCGTATTAAAGCTACGTAAAGTAATGGAATACAATGACTTCTACTATACTCATAGACCACCTCGTCCTAAGTACCCCCTTGAGACTTATGAATAGTCATGGCACATCCTGATATCAATGGAAAATGATTTTGTTTACCCACAGTAGTTTTATTATTATTGAGTGATACCCTTGAGGTTCGACGTCCAACAGGTACAGCACGTCTATCGATATGATATTCTGCAACGAAAGCAACGAAAGAGGCTTTTCTTCTGGCCACCATACCAGTGTTTTTATCTGGAAAAACAAGCCATACACGAGTAACTTGATTTTCTTCATTTTGTTCTATATGAACCAGCTTTCCAACGGTACCGTTAGCTAATCTGTCTACAACGTCTATATTAGTTGTAATAATATAGGGCTTTCCAATAACAAAAATGATTTCGTATGGCAAACCTCCTGTATCTATCACAGACATTTTGTGTAATTTTTGTCTCATACTTGCTTCCTGCTCATGATTAGAACAACCTGAAATAATATCTATTGCAATCGAAGTTATTTTATTTTCAGTTTGTAAAGCTAATATATTATATGCGTTAACTGATGCATTATCATGGAATAATCGTACACCACTTGGACACCGCCGTGAGACTTCTTCTTTTGTAAAAAATCTAGACTCGATTACGCCCAATTCATCATCATTTAAAATAATACCACTGCCAATTTTTGTGAGAATAGAAGAAAACATTTCGTTATCTTGACGCATTATTTGAGTTAGTTCGTAGAATTTTAATCCTCGCCAAAGTAAGGGTCCAACCATCCGTTGTTTTGACTGCTTATAGATTGGAGTTGCACGAACTGGAGGTAATTGTCGCAAATCTCCAATCAAAATAATGTCTAGGCCACCAAAATTTTCATCAAAATTCCCAGTTATTTGCTTTAATCTTGCGTCTATCTGGTTTAAGAGCTCGCCACCTATCATACTGATTTCGTCAATTATTAAAACTTTGACATATTTAAATAAGCATCGATATTGTTGTGCTGTTTCTATTGACAACGGAATTAGTTTTGATAACGATATTTTCAATGCAGTATGAACAGTGGTTCCATTAATGGCTACAGCAGCTTTACCAGTCGAAGCACACGTAATGTATGAATTGCAGAACCCATCGTTATCAGAAAATCTATTATATATTTCCATTATCAATTTTATCACAAAGGTTTTCCCGCATCCAGCTGGCCCAGTAAAAAATAATTGTAGAGGTGACTTCTCTTCGGATAAATTGTGATGAATGACGTGTAAAAGTAATTCTTTTTGTTTTTCATTAGCGCTTCTCATGAGCTCGCAAAAACGATCATTGCTCATGATATTTTCTCGTCTTCTGGCTATTGCTCCTAAGTTATCAAGCGTAGCTATACGTAAATCTTCATTTACCAAAGCATTCGGATTTCTGTAAAATTCTTCAAAGGGGTTTGGCTCTGGAAATCTTGTACCAAAGTCTCGAATTTCTGATTCGTCATCCATCAGCTCATCCTCATGACATCATTGTCGGCATATATCAATTGTTTTTTGAATATCAATATTTGACTCAAATTCTTTTCTTTTTTCTAAAATGTCGCTTTCGTGTTCATCGTATATTGTTGTGAATTTCATATCTGCTAATATTTCTGTGTCTTCATTTCTAAATGGTATATGTAAAGTAACCATTTCTCTTCTATACTCATTGTAATCATGAGTCATATCATAATTTCATAACGAATAACATGAGGGTGCTTCTTTGTGACGTACTCTCCTTTTCTGTTTTTAGTATATTTTGAAACAAACTGTGCTAAAGAAATTTCTTCCAATATTTCTGGGCGTTTTTGATACTTATCGTGCCAATCTTCCTTCCAAATATCAGTTAAA